ACCAACACCTTGAATTGGACCCAGAGACCAATAGGCAACCAGTGCAGCTCACGGAGGATAGGTGTAACGTGGGTGTATCGAGGAGCACCCACTATCACTCGCGCGGCTGCATTCTGGACCAACTGTAGTCTCCGAATACTTTTCAAGGGTAGCCCCATGTAGAGCGTGTTGCAGTAGTCCAGACATGAGGTGACGAGGGCATGAGTGACTGTAAGGAGAGCCTCCCAGACCAGGTAGGGTCGCAACTGGTGCAACAGACGAACTTGTGCAAAGGTCCTCCCAGCCACAGCCGTCAAATGATGTTCCAAATTCAGCTGTGGATCAAGGAGGACACCCAAGTTGCGAACCCGCTCCGAAGGGGGTATATTTTCCTCCGCAAGAGTCAACACTGGACAGCCGACATAATCCTTGGGAGGCAACATCGGTCTTGTCAGGATTGAGCCTGAGTCTGTTAACACCCTCCAGACCCTCATGGCTTCGAGGCAACGGCCCATCACATCGGCCGCTTCACTGAGAGAGCTCGGGGAGGAGATATACAACTGGGTATCATCAGCATACTGATGAAACCTCACCCTGTGCTGTCTGATGATCTCACCCAGCGGCTTCATATAAATGTTAAATAGGAGGGGGGAGAGGACCGACCTCTGCGGCACACCACATTCAAGGGGCCTCGGGTTGATGTCTGCCCTCCCACCAATACCGATCGTGACCGGCCAGAGAGGTAGGAGAATCACCGTAAAACAGTGCCTCCCACTCCCATCCCTTCAAGCCGTCGCAAAAGGATACCATGATCGATGGTATCAAAAGCTGCTGAGAGGTCAAGTAGCACCAAGACAGAGGAATAAGCATAAGTTCAAAACAAGCCTATAGTCCAGTTATGGCGAACCTTTTAGAGACCGAGTGCCCAAACTGCAAGCCAGAATCCACTTATCGCCGGGTGCCAGGTGGGCGTGGCTCACTGGGTGGGCTTGGTTGTGGTGGTCATGGCAGACTGGGTGGGTGTGGCCAAGGTGAACATGGTCACCTTGATGTTGCTCATGGGGAGGGATGCCTGTGGGGGCCGCGCAGGGTTGGGGGAGATCCAGGGGGTCTCTGGCAGGTGGGGCGATGGGCAGGAAGCTCGTCCTGCGGGGTGAGGCGAGGTAAGGCGAGGCAGGGGCTGGGGTGCCACTGTCGCAGGGCAAGGCGAGGCAGGGGCTGGGGTGGCTGCTGCCTGACACCATTGGCTCCTGCATAGAGGCCAGCGGGTGCATGGGGGCCGACAGTGTCTGTCCGTAACCACAGCCTGCTGGCCCCTCGACTGGCATACTCTGGGGCTCTGCAGCCTGCCGCCAGCAGTTCAGAGAAGCCATCTCTGAGCTGGACAGCCGGCCGACAGCTGAGGAGGTGATGCAATGGGTCATGCCCGGGAAAAGGAGAGCATGCGAGGCCAGGAGGGATGGGACGGGAGGGAGGGAAACCAGCCATGCTCGGATGCATCCGGCCACATGGGACCTTAGCGGGTTAGTGGGTGGCTGGTTGAAGAGGGACGGTTGCCATCTCTGGGGCATGGTGTGCGTGCCCACAGAGAGGGCTCTGAGTGCCACCTCTGGCACATGTGCCATAGGTTTGCCACCACTGCTATAGTCCTACCATTTTAAAGTCAGCAGACCTTTCCATAATAGTCAGATAATGATTCCACATTGAGCAACCACAGAGCTATCCCAGAAGATTTACAAAAAGTCCTTTATGTGAAGACAGCCAGAGATTAGCCAAACAGGCATGAAGATGTTGTCAAGTTTCTAGAGAAATCTGCTTTTCCTTGTCTTTATTGCTCCCTTCGTTCTGCCATCAGTCCATATAAATATGTAAAATTATGGGTGAAAACATTCTCTGGACGAGAAGCCCATCAGGAAAACTAAACTGCAGTTTATTCAGGACTGGCCATTTTTATAAGAGTGAAGACTGAATTCCACATAAATAAACTTTATCCACAATGATAAATTTTCCCACACCAAAAAAAACATTACTCTAAAATAAATGAAACTCTGAGCTAAATTTAGAAACTTTAAAGAACCACATGTATCATATTCAGTTTATATTAACTGACAGTACTTAAAACAAAAGTCAAACATAAGCACCCCAAAAATCAGTTAAGTACATTTATGATTTTACTATGCATATGAATCAAAATCTTCAATTGGAAATATATTTACTAAAGTATTTGAAAAAAAAAAATAAGACATACAGATAATCTTTAGCTTACAACAGTTTGTTTAATAATGGTTCAAAGTTATAATGGTCTTGGAAAAAGTGTTTTATGACTTTTGTCACACTTATGACTCTTCACTATCCAGTCACATGATCACAATTTGGGCACTTCCCAATCAGCCCACATTTATGACTGGTTACAGCATCCTGAGCAAACATAATTACGATTTGTAACTTTTTCCAATAGTAATGTCAATTGGAAAAGCTGGATTCACTTAACCACCACAATGATTCACTTAAACAAATGCAATAAAAATGGTCATAAAATCAGGTCCAGTTGTGTGATGAGTTGCTTTATGACTGCACCAGTTCACTATGGAAATTCTGGTCCGAATTGTGGTTGTAAGTCAAGGACCACCTACTCAGGTTAATAGCCTATAGCAGGGGTCTTCAAACTTGGCCCTTTTATGACTTGTGGACTTCAACTCCCAGAATTCCTCAGCCAGGCACACTGGCTGAGGAATTCTGGGAGTTGATGTCCACAAGTCATAAAAGGGCCGAGTTTGAAGATCCCTGGCCTATAGTTTTCTTTCCTTATTAGATTTCAGCAGCACAATCCAATATGTTTTAACTCAGAAATTTCCCACTGAGTTAATGAAGTCAACCTTTTAACAGATTTGCTTTGTTGCTGTGTTATTGCAGCCTAAGGAAAAACAAAAGGAGAATCTAAAAACTGCTAATATGCTCGTTTTAGAATTACCAAATTGCTATGTGCATAAGTGTATGATCTACCTACAAATGATAAGGAAAAAAAAACAATAATTACAAGCTTGATTTCTAGTGTACTGATGCCTTATTTAATTAATTAATTAACATAATTCTAGACTGCAGTCTTATGCTGAAGCATCGTAAAGTTCATGGAGCTCAACTGAATGAGAAAAAAATGATTAAAACACAACAGCATGAAATTGCTGTTGCTTAAAATCTTCAATATAGACTGTACTGAATGAAAGTGAGGGGGGGGGGGAAACCAATTCATACCTAACATTCACACAAGGAAGGTCTCTATAAGTCTAAAATTTTGAAACAGCAGCCTCACAAATATCAAAGGAGAGAATGATCATACTGCCCCCCAAAAAATCAAACTTAGGAGTTATTCCTAGATAGTGCTTTACAAGTGACAGTAAATCAGCAAGACTATTGTGATGATTAGTGTCTTAAAAAATTTAGCAAGTTTTTTTTAATACAATACTGGTTGTCCTATATGGCAGGTTGGTTACCTTATTTGAAAATGGCTCTGTAGCTAATGAGAACCATGGTGAATGCTTTAGCAAAAGTGTAATAATTATGGTATGGCAATCAAGTTGGTGACAGACACTCCTGGCTAACATGCTCATTTGGGCCCTTGATAACAATGATAAAACTGTATGTACCCCCTACTCAATTCTGCATATTTCTGAGTGAGTACAACACATAGGTGGTCCTTGTTTAAAAACCATAGTTGGGACTGTCAACTTAGTTGTTAAGTGAAGTGGTTGCTCAGTGAAACTGTCACCGGGGTTATGATCTCATTTCAGCTTTCCTTTGTTCAACAGGGCTAAAACAAATAAAATAAAAAGATCTAAAACTATGGAGAGAGAAGGAAATTCTTCTATCCTAACTTCTTTCTCAAAAAAAAAAAAAAAAAAAAAAAAATCCAGCTCTCCCTTGAAAAACATTTCCTATATGGAAAACAATTATTTAAAATTGTTTAAAACATATTAAGAGCCATTCAATATACAGTCTTATATTATGCCATAAAGTAGGCATAGGCAACTGATTCGTTCTCTATTCTCCTTGTTCTATATATTATTATTTACTGAGACTCTAGCCCAGGGATGGCGAATCTTTTAGAGACTGAGTGCCCAAACTGCAACCCAGAACCCACTTATGCATCGTCAAGTGCCGGGTGGGTGTGGCCCACTGGCTGGTGTGGCCCATTGGGTGGGCATGGCTGGGGCGGTAATGGCAGACTGGGTGGAACTAAAAAGTTCAATCAATCAATTCCAACTTTGCAAGATCTTTTTTTTCCCACGAGAAGTTGAAATTGACTGATTGAACCTTTTTTTTTTTTTTTTTTGCACATGGTGGCGGAAGCCTAAAGTGAAAAGGTTTTATAAAACTCAGCTGAAGGCCTAGGACTGGAGCGATGGCATGCGTGCCCACAGAGAGGGCTCTGAATGCCGCCTCTGGCACCCGTGCCATACGTTTGCCACCACTGCTCTAGCCCAGTCACTTTTCTAGCGAGAGTCACTTTTCTTCCATTATTAAACACAAAGTATCATATTCTAGTGTCCATATAAACTGACTCAACATATAGTTGTACTAAATTTATGGACATGCCCTATCTTGGTCACGGTATTACATACATGAAGACAGACCTGAATCTCTGCTTTGTCCTAATTACAAATATATGTGCAGTAGGATGTATATTTTTGTATCATATGGTACACAATACTAACACGCCAAATCAGTATATGAATAAATTCCATATTAAGCAAAACCAACTCCCATGCTTCTTGTCTTAAAAGGGCAGTCTTTATTCTTCACAACAATTCTACCTATAGTGGATCCAGTTGTGAAAATGCATTTTATTAATTTTGATATGCTTTTCTGTTTTCTATAGTTTTGTATGGCATTTTAAAATTAAATTTTCAACCAAAATAAAGCACAAATCTGGACTCGATATCAAATTTTATTAGGTATCAATATTTGTATATAAAATATTTGATTTCAAAATCAGTAACCACACAAACACTTCAGTAATTTACCTGATTGCTTAGAAGATTCCCAGCCAGAGGTTTTCTCAGCATATTGAGGTCCTGAGGGCTTGAATCCTGTGCCAGAAGCAGCTGAAATAGGCCTACTGGCGCCATTTTCTGGGTTTTCAGGCACGTTTCTTACAGCAGCAGCTGTACAAGTAGCAAATTGTGTGGGTTCCAAAGAATCGCTGCTTGAAGAAAAAAAATATTAGTTTAGCACAATCCCCAAACAAGCACAAGAATTCAATGAAAATGTTCCTTTATACAAATACAAAGAAAGTTAATTTTAAGTATTAGCAGAAAAACTGCTCCTTCATTGTTTATTCTCAATTTTGCACACATTGCTGGAAATTTCATGGGACACCCTAATCCATATTACTTTGTATGTCATCCATATGTGAACTAGGTTTCAGATAAACTAGCTGTGTCATTAACTGCAGTTTATAAGGATCTCATTTTAACTGCTTCTTATGACAGAGACAGTTGGTGCCTTTCCACTTGTACTAACAAGACCCACAATTTTGATCTTAGATTTAATGCAAAGATATGCTTATGTGAAACACATTCTGATTGATTTGTTTTTGACAATAAATATAGAGGCATTTCTTCAAAGTCCAGAAGGATTCATTTTCACAGTATATAAAACAAAGATTTTCTCGTTACCATGAACAGAATTTCAGGCAATTAAGTAAGCATCCAAGAAAGAGGAATTGCCTTTCACAATTCAATCCCAAACTAAAAAAGATGACTTAACAAGATGTGGTCAGACAAGTTTAGAGTTTAAATTATGAATATAATGATCTAAAACATTTGAGGGCCTTCCTGTTCATTTATTCTATTTTAAAAAATGGTTCTGGCTGTTAGAATATATTTTACAGATTGAATTTAGTATCCATCATTTATTTGATGAAAATTTCAATTCAGCAAATATGAAAGTTAACATGCCTTAAAGCGAAAAAATATTATGTATATCATATACATAACTGGTAAGATCTGCTGGTTAAGAAATAGTGAAGACTGAAGCAATTTGGGGGGGGGAGTTTACATCTTGGGAAATGACAAGTTTCTCTTGGATTTAGTTCTAAGTTTGCATGCAGGTTAAGTCACTTTGGAAATTCTATATTTTCACTATCAAAACATTGGTCTGATTTAGTAAATCTGTTTGAAAATATTCCAAAGGAAATAACTGTATGGAAGCATTCTCAAACTATACATTATAATAATTATAGCATTTGGCTTGCCTTCTTCGAATCTTTTCTAAATAGTAAAGCTATGTAGACTTTAAATTCTGCTTATGGCTGATGGTGGCAGTTTTCACAAAAGTATTAGTAAAATACTATAGTTATTAAACTATTTTATATATCTTTCAAGATCCACTCTATACATGTATGATTTTTTTAAAAGTACCAAAAAAAGCCATGCTCTTTTCACATTTGCATTGCTTTGGAACCCCTGATAATCAATGAAGACTGCATTAAGTCTATAACTAACAAAGATGAAATTGACTTCACATATGGTTCTGCTGAAGAATATATTAACATAAAGACTGCTGCCGATTCTTTATCCAAATTTGTGTACTGTTCAGTAGGTTTTGTGCCTTCTTTATCTGGGTTAAATTGCTTTATCTTAGCCCAGATATATCAGGCATGAAATCTACTGAACAATACACAAATTCAATGGAATTATGAGATTACAGGTATTGGGCAAATTTTAAAAAATCCCTGTACAGGTAATCCTCAACGTACAACCACAATAGGGCAAACATTTTGTTGCTAAGTGAAACATTTGTTAAGTGAATTTTGCCCCATTTTACAACCTTTCTGGCCACAGTTGTTAATCATTGCAGTTGTTAAGTTAGTAACACAATTGTTAGGTGAATCTGGCTTTCCCATTGAGTTTGTTTGTTTTAAGCTCGCAAGAGGTGACCACGTGACCCCAGGACTCTGAAACTATCATAAATATGAGTCAGTTGCCAAGCGTCAGAATTCTGATCATATGATCCTGGGAATGCTGCAATGGATGTAACTGTGAAAAAAAGTCAAAAGTCACTTTTTTCAGAGCCACTGTAACTTTGAACAGACGCTAAATGAATGGTTCTAGGTTGAGAACTATCTGTATTGCCAAAAGCATTTAAATATGTAAATTTATATTGAAAGATATATGAAAAGTGGGATGAGCCACGCTAGGAAAGCTAACTCGTAAGCATGAAACTAGAAACTGTGGGCATTTTAAAAGGAGGAAAGGCTGAAGTCTAGCCGAACAATTGGCTTCACATGAAACTTTTGATTTATGGCACATGCTATGCCTCTTGTGGTTGGCAAAAGTCTTTCTGTCAACATTTGCAGCAGACCTCACACACCAATAACATTGGAACTAGTTTTGTAAGACATTCATAACGAAAACAGAGAACATTTTGAGTTCCTGTGGCTGCATTCCCTCTGGGTTTCCTTCCAGAGTTAATCTTTATATTATGCTTATAGTTATGCTCATGGAAATGTTATCAATATGCAACATCCTGATTTTGAAAAAATGCTAATTTCCATAGCAGATTGCTTTCTAATATAATTCTGTGCATTGGAGATTGATTAATGCAGTGGTTCTCAATCTGTGGGTCGGGACCCCATTTGGGGTCGAACCACCATTTCACGGGGGTCGCCAAACAACGCAGTCCGCCATTTTTTCCCCCTTTTCCTTAGCTGTGCTACTCCCTTTTATTCTATTGGCTTTTGAAAGCCAATAGAATAGACTCTCTTGAATAGAGTCTAATTCTATTGGCTTTCAAAAGCCAATAGGAATTGTCCAGGCTGTCTCTGCCCTGATGAGCCCGCCAAAAGTCCTATTCTGCAAACGGTGCTGCACCAGTTGAGTAGTCCTCGACTTACAACTGGTTGAGTAGTCCTCGACTTATGACCGGTTGGGGGTCGCGGCATTAAAAAAGTTGAGAACCACTGGATTAATGGATCCTGGTTTAAGGAAGAAAAAGAATACAACAATTTGGCATCTGTCAAGTTACCATATCCAAAAGGATACCAGAACACACATGAGGGCAACTGGATATATTTTTCAAGTAAATCTATTTTCATCACTATGAAACAGTTCGGGGGGAGGGAGGGAGGGAGGGAGGGAAGTAAGTAAGTAAGTAAGTAAGTAAGTAAGTTGTCTTTTTTCTGCATTTAAAATCCCTTGGAACTCAACAGGATTTTTATTTAAATTCCTATCTGCAACTTCAAGGTCTCCATCAAGCATTTATAGTATATTAATTACTGTATTTTAATCTAATTGCAATTTTGCTATCCATAACAGATGGACTATCTGTTCACTTATTTAAGATCCAACTTTCAAAGCTTACAAAGCTATGCTAAATAAACCAGCACACCAATCTGCCTCTACAATATGCTATCACATTCTCTTTCTCCCTTCCTCTGCACAGACACCTTTACAACTGGATAGAGAGGAAATGCATGATAAGTAAAGGAATGAGCATCCATGCCATTCCAGCTGTTTCTATGAATTATGCAGATCCACTATGGCACTCATCAGCCAGAACAATGGTATTCTTCCATTTTCCATATTGCATACTACATCTTGCAACCTTTGGATAGCATGGGAAAAGACAGAAATGAAAACTCTGTGGTTAGCTACACCAGATATAGGAAAAGAAGAAGAGAGAGGCACTGACTACTCTCTTGATAAGGATTCCTTCTTGGCATCCCTAAATTACCAATTTGAATTGAAGGTGTAAAGGAAGTGTTCTGCTCTGAATGGTCAATTCCAAAAGCGGGCAGAGACAAGACAAAATGTGAATGTGGTCAAAAAGTTATTAAATCTGAATTAATTTGGGGTCTCAGGCCCCCATGATACACGGGCTATGGATCCTCACTACAATGGTCTTCATTTCTTACCTAACTTTATAACAGAAACCCATGTGTGAACAAACTACCTGAATTTCAATACAAAGTGCTTGTACCTGAAGTTATATTTGAAGTCACTGTATTCATGGTTCAAGATAAAGAAACTTGCTTTAAGTTATCAAGAAATCAAATTAGAACTAAGTGTATCAGTCTGGCATGGAATACGCAAAATATCATTAATGACATTTAGTAAATTTTAATTTAGCTATAGTGACTAATACAGAGACATGTAAATCAAAGTTAATGAGATACATGAGAACTGAACCCTATCCTCACTACTTTTTCATTTGTTGTATTCCCCCCCCCCAGGTAAAATTAAATTTATCAAGCAGATACAGTTTCCCAAATAATAATTTTTTTTCCTTTCCCATTCTCCTAAATTATAATCTTCTTTCTAAAGAACAGGCCTTTTAAAAGTGAACAAAGAGACATTTTGTCACTTCCCAAGTCATTTCCTTTGTGAATCAAATTCAAGAATTAAGATGCAATACAATGCAAGACAATATTGCTTTTTAGGGAAGAAAGACATTTTAAGATGGAGAAATTTAGGCTGAAGAGTGACTTAGATTCCAATTGTAACATATTTAATATGATAGGCACCTCTTCCCTGCAAACTATCAAAAGCTATTTTCAAAAGCTATTTTCAGAAAATAGTCTGAGATTTGCTAGAGGTATACAATCAAAGAAAGTGCCAACATTTGAGCAGGACCACCACTTTGGTTTTTATATGTCATAATTCTTTTACATTAGGCCCTCTTCCAAAAAGAATTGGCTTCCCCATAAATAGTCTGGCATGGCACTGGCCATTTTGCTGTATTTTTTCCAAGTGAATGTTTCCCAAATTAGAAAATTTCCAGAAATAAATAAGCTGACATAAAAGCAAAATACTTAAAATGAAAACCTTATTAAATGACCTCTGCAAGCTAAAGACACACACAAAGCAGTTACTTAATATGATTTGTGCTTTCTGATCAGTCTTTTTAAAATTCTTTTGGTTTTATTATTATTTTTAATCTATTTAACTTCTCCCTTGGTTCACTTGGCCCATTCAAGGTCAGCCAGGTTCTGCTTTTACAGTATATATGTTTATGAGCATTCTTTTCCCCTTTATTTGTACCAAAGCCATTCAGAGTCATCAAGGCATTGATGAGTCATTGGGCTGCCTCAAAATTGGACCAAATAAAGAAATGTCAGGTTGTATAATGCATTGTGTAGCCAGAAAATGTCTTAGAATATCATATATTGGTATTTTTCCATAAGCCTTACAAATAATACTCCAA